AAAATCGTTTCCGTTGTACCAAGCGTTTATTGCGGATCTATGCAGCCTACTGCATAATACGTCAAACATAACCTAATGTGCTCTTAGCCCTAGCCCGTCTAATGCTATCTACAAATGAGGTGTCAAAACAAGGTCGAAACTGCAGTCTTTTAATGACAGTATTTCGATGAGCAACACGCTAAACTTTTCAATTTCCTAGTGCATTTCTGATCGGAAGGACTGACGTCTATATGAATTGAAATGGGTTCTCAATAAAGGTTGCTTTTCGAAAACCAACCTGCAGCCGACCCATCAAATATGCCCCCAAAGCGCTCAAGGAACTCCGGCAAAATGACTGTGAGAAGCCGGGTCCAATCCCTCCCCATAACGTTGTAGTATTTAGCGACAACGAAACGCGTCCAAACTGCGAACCTGCTGCCAATCTTCTTCTACAAACTACCACTCATTCGAGGTACCTAATTTCCCTAAGTTCATGACCCACAGCATTGGCTGGTTTTTCCCTTTTTAGTCGTAAATGAGCCTGCGGAGGACCACTTACATATTTTCCTCTTCGTCTCAGTTGACTGCCGGCCGATCACGTGTTTTTGTGTGCGTTGATAGCCAAGCACCCTTCTCGTCTAAGTCACTAGTGCGCGTTTACTGTTAGCTCCTCGCGTGTGCGTGCGTTCCGAGTGCTCAGCGTATAATGATTATCTGCGGCTAGGATTGTACTGAAGCTTGCTCAATTTCCGTTTCACGCGCGTGTACCCGGGCTAAGCTACGCCAACAAGTCAGCGTAAATCCGTTCGATTGTCCAGCGAACTAAGCCGTTACCGTAGACGTGCTCCGACCGTGTCAGTGACATTTGTAACAGAGGCGTTGTCTGATTATATAACAGCCACACAGCGGATTCTTCAATTCAAACTTTGAACTCATTTCCGCTGTACCAATCTTTGGTCACGGAACTCATTGATATTTTGCTTATGGCGTGAAATTTTAACGAATACTCTCTGTATTCCAGCCCAAACAATGACGAACCTGCAGTCGTTTGATGCAGGTATTTTACGAACAACACCAAAATGTTCTATTCTATAACGGTCATTATGATCGAAATGAACTAAGTATGCCTGAAGTGAACCGGGTACTTTATAGAGGTTGCGTGTTTCAAAAGAACCACACAGTGGATTTACTAAGTACATCTTTAAATTATTTTCTCTGTAAAAAGCCTTCCTCGCGCATCTAGACGGCGTAGTGCTTATGCGTCAACCATTTGCCACTGGAGTCTGAGTTTCAGCCTGTTTAATGCTATCTCAAAATGATGAGTCCAAACCAGGAAGGAAACGCAGACGTGATGTGCCAGTGTTAAGAGAAGTAACATCGTGATGACACAATTTTCATACGGTACTTATGTTCGGAAAGTTTGAAGTCCAACTGAAGTGAACTAGACTATCAATGGAGGTTTATTATATCAAACCAACTATACAGCAGATTGTCAAATTCCAACTTGGCATTCGCTTCTGCTGTAGGAATCGCTGCTCGCCGATCTATTCGACTTATTGCTTAATGCGTCAAATATATGCTACTGAATACTGAGGTCCAGCCAAATTAATGGTATCTCCAAATTATGAGTCCAAGCTAGGAGGAAACCGCGGTAGTGTGATGCAAGTGTTTGGATGAGCAATATCATAAGTTTTCCATTTTACCTACGGTCTATTTGATCGGAATGACCGAGGTCCAACTGAAGTGAACCGGGTTCTCAATGGACGTTTATTTGCTAACAAATCACACAGCGGTTACTTCAAGTCCAACTGAGAATGTAATACCGTCACGTCAAACGTTACACGCGGAACTGTGTCGCGTAGTGCTTAATGCGTCGAAATAAGCCACTGGGCACTGAGTTCCAGTATAACTAATGCTAACTCCAAATGCTGAGTCAAAACCAGGACGCAACCGCAGTCGTGTTGTGCCGCTGTTGGGATAACCGTTACAGCTTGGATACATTTTAATGCAGTGTTTTGATCGAAATATCCATAACTAACCGGTAGTAAACCTGGGAATCATAGTGGCAGCTTGTAACAAAACAAACACAAAGGAGACTCTTCAAGACCAATATGAATTTATTTTCGCTCCACAAAGAGTTGCTGGCGAATCTCGCTAGTGTATTGCTTTGGCGGAAAAATTATCGACTAGGCACTGAATTCCGAAAGAAAAAGAGGTATCTCAAAATGATTAGTTCAATCAAGGACGAAACCGCAGTCGTACGGTGTAGGTGTTTGAATATGTAAAACCATACATGTTTAATTTTACCTACGGTATATTTAATCGTAAATATCATGTTTCAATTGAAGTGAACCGGGGACTCAGTAGAGGTTTAATTTCCAAACCCACCATACAGACGATTCTCCAAGTCCAACATTGAATTACTTTCCGCTGATCAAAGGGTTTCTCGCGGATCTATGCTGCATAGTGCTTAATGTGATTAAAATAAGCCATTGAGCTTTGGGTTCCCACCCAGTTAATGCCATCACCAATTGATGAATACATCCAAGACGTAACCGCGGTTTTGGATTGCCAATATTTCTATGAGCAACGTCTTAATTTTTCCATTTTTCCTACGGTCATTTTGATCGGATCGATGGAGGTCCAACTGAAGTGAACCGGGTTCTCATTAGACACATTTTTTGCGAAACAACCACACAGCGGTATCTCAAACTCAAACTTTGAATTCTTTTCCGCTCAACCAAACGTTGCTAGCTTTGTTCAATTAATGATTCCATACAAGCTCGAAAATGCATTGGCAGGTTGCAGGCGTTTGGATGAGAACACAAAATCTTTCGATTGTACCTACGGTTCTTTTGATCGGAATGACCGAGGTGCACCTGAAGTGAACCGATTCTAAACAGAGGTTCTTGTAACGACCCAAAAACACAGCGGATTCTCCAAGTCCAATGTTGAATTCGTTTCAGTTGGACGAAATGTTGTTCGCGGGTCTAGGCGGCATAGTGCTTAATTCGTCAAACATAGGTAATAAAGTCTGAGCTCCAGACCAGTAAATGGTGCATCCAATTGGTGAATCCAAACCGGAACGTAACTGCGGTAATGTAATGCCAGTGTATGGATGAACAACATAATAGTGTTCCCACTTTACCTACGAGCATTTTGATCGGAATAATTAAGGTCCACCGGAAGTGAATCGGTTTCCCCATAGAGCGTGCTTATATCAAACCAAAATCACAACGGCTTCTCCAATTCCAACATGAAAATTGCTTCCTTTGCATGAAGTGTTGATCGCTGATCTATGGAGCATATTGCTCATAGTCTTAAAATTGAGCCACTACGCTCAGAATTCTAGCCTGCTTCTGGATAGCTCCAACTGGTGCGGTACACAAATACAAAACAGCAGTCGTGGAATGCAGGTGTTTATATGTGCAACACCATATTATTCCTATTTTACCCACAGTCCCTTTGATTGGAATGACTGTAGACCAACTGAAGTTAACCGGAGTCTAGTTTGAGGGTGTTGCTGCAAACTGCGCGCGGATCTATGCGGCATAGTGCTCAATTCGTCAAACGTTAGTCACTCGGCATTGAGTTCCAGCACATCTAATGCTATCTCCAAATTGTGAGTCCAAACCAGGACGAAAATGCAGTCGAGATATATCAGTGTAGGGAAAATCAACACTGATGATTATGTTTTCCAACGGTCTTCTTGAAATGGATGACCGATGTCCAGCTGAAGTGAATCGGGGTTTCAATAGAGGTTGCTTGTAGCAAACCAACCCCACAGCGGATTCTCTAAGTCCAACTTTGAATTCGTTTTCTTTGTACCAAACGTTACTCGCTCGTCTCATTTGCATAGCGCTTATGGTGTGAAATTTGAATGACTACCATCTTAATTCGAGCCCATCTTACGCTATGTCAGACTGATGATTCAATGCAAGGGGGAAACGGCATTCGTGGGATGCAGGTGTTTTGACGAGCAACACCATACTTATTCCATTTTGCATACGGCCGATTTGATCGGAAAGACCGAGGACCACCTGAAGCGAACCGTGTTTTCAATAGAGGTTGCTTATAGCAAACCAACCACACAGCGCATCCCCAAGTGCAACTTTGAATTCGTTTCCGCTGTTCCAAGCCTTGCTCACAGATCTATGAGGCGTAGTGCTTAATGCACCAAACATGTGCCATTGTGGTCTGGGTTCTAGACCAGTTAATGCTTGCTCCATATGAAATATCCAAACAAGGACGAAAAAGCTTTCGTGTAATGTCAGTATTTTGATAAGAAATATATTAATGTTTCCACTTTATTTACAATCCTTCTGTGCGGATGGCTTGAAGTCCACCTGTAGTTAACTGGAGTCTAAATATAATCGCATGCAGCAAAAGAACAACATAGAACATACTCTTAGTCCAACCATAATTTTGTTTCCGCTGTACCAAGCGTTGCTCGCGGATCTTATTGGCATTTTGCTTATGCCGTGAATCTTGAGCGACTAAGCTCGGAATTATAACCATTCTCATGCTATATCCAACTAAGTTGTCCAAAAATGTACAAAACCGCATTCGTGGGATGCACATGTTTTGATAACAACAAACGAATTGTTCCATTTTACCTATGGTCAATTTGATGACATTTACAGAGGTCCACCTGAAGTGAAGCGGGTTCTCAATAAAGGTTGTTTGTATAAAACAAACCACCAGCGGTTTCTCCAAGTCCAACTTTGAATTCGTTTTCGCTTTACCAAGCGTTGCTCGCAAAACTCGTTTTGAAATTGCTTCCATCGTGAAACATAGGCAACTGCTCTTCTAATTATATGCCACTCACAGTCTTAGGTTCACACGTTGTCGATGCCATCCGTTTCCACCATTTCGTGCAGCCAATGAGGGATTTCGGTCAACTAGTATTTGGTCTTTAAGTTCTCCATCCGCCCCCTACTTGCGTAATTCCTTTTGTTGCATGTGCTGTTGTAGAATTACCCTACAGATGCGAATATTGCGATAAATACTTTTCTGCACAGTGTGGTCTACGAAAACACGTCAGCGAATTGCATTTGAGTGAGTGTATGCATTTTATTCGGTATGTTGTCTTTGGTTCGATATTTCAAGCCTTCTTGCAATTCTATTTCATGTTACCTATTTTCTGCTACTCATCACTCTATTTCTTCACCTCAGTGGGTTTCGCTTGTGTAGGCATCGAACTTAATGGTAATTCCGAGGCAGCACTACTGTACTGGATTCAAATTAACAGCCAACTGTGTGTAGTTCAGTTTCGGGCTTCAGGTAGACTCAACAAGCGTTGTGAGAAGAGACACAACTTGTTTGTGATCTCCGCGTACGCTCCAACTGACTGTATTAGTGGCTCGGCCAAGGACTACTTTTATCGTTAGCTTCATCTGCTCTTGAGTAACGCTAACAAAGCTTATGTCGTTGTCCTTGGTGGGGACTTCAGTGAACGGGTTGACCGCCTGCTCTTATACGAACGTCCCTTTGATGGTCACCACGCGCTCGATAAGGGGCTGCAAGATAACGGAGACTTCTCACATTGTGTAAAGACAATCACCCGTTTCTCTCGTGCACCAAGTTTAGGCATACGAAGAAACCTTATGTAACTTGGTGTCCCCCTTCGCCAACACAAGCGTTTCTCAAACTGAGCACATTGCAATCAACTTCAGATGGCGGGACAGCGTACGGGACTGCAAGTCTTTTTGGTCCACTGATTCGGATCATGCACTGATCTACGCGAAAATCTGCATGGTTTTTTGGGTAGGGGATGGAGTCCGTGCAATTAAAGCACCACAAGATTGGTGCTAACGGATTAACTGGTTCCTCGATCCAGGCGAGCCATCGGTCTTCACTGACATACATACTCAGTTACAATCTATCGCAAGACATAGAGCAACATTGGACTCATATACAGAAGACAATGACAACTTCCGGACAGTAAAGTTGCCGCCAAGCCAGACATCTTAAGGGCTTGGATCTCTGCTCGCTTTGGAGCTGTTCGACCACCGCAGAGATATCCTGGCAGAATCAGATTGTAATGAGCGACGCCGCTCTGCTAACTGGCTGCTCAAGCAAAGTCTGCGCAAGGATTGCGAGGCTTGGTGGCCTGAGCGGGCTGTAGAGATGCAGACCACTGTCCTCTCTGGCGACACTCACGGTCTTTTCCAGATCATTCGATCCACTGGCCTCACGGAGCCTAGTGTCAGTGAGATGGGTCTCCAGTCACCAGCCAACAAAAGTGTTTGGATCGCTGGACCGAGCACTTTTACTCACAATTCAACTGACCTCCCCCGTCCATCAGTGCATTGCAGTACACCTTGTTGCCTACCCTGGCGCGAGCCAATAGATCCACCCAGTGAAGCAGAAGTCTGCTTTGAGATTGGACGCTTGAAGTGATTTCAGCTTGCTGGCTGACACAGACTTCCTCCGGGGTTTTTCAGATACGGTGGCGTGGCAATCATTAACCAGCTGATGTCGTTGTTCGAAAAATCTGGCATGAAGAGAAAGTGCGTTCCTCTTGAGGCGAATCAGTTATCATCCCGATTTTCAAGAAAGGCACCCACCTTATATTTCAGCTATCACGGAATTAGTCTTATTTCGGTTGCATCCAAGCTATTGGCCTCCATTCTGCTTACAAGAATACTCCCAATACATGCATCATACTACCATGAAGAACAAGCTGGTTTCCGTCCCGGCCGTGGATATGTGGATCAATCTTTCACGCTCCGCCAACTCCTCAAACATCGCTACATTTATCACTGGCCTACTATCATTTCATTCTTACCCATACGTGCCGCTTTTGACTCCATTGATCAACCTGCTTTATGGCTTTGCCTGCTAAAGAAAGGAGATGCCAGAGCAGTATACTATCATCCTACTGGCACTTTACCTTTATATCTCCGGCAGCATGAGGATCTACGTCCAGCTTTCCTTGCCATTCGCTCTCAATAGCGGTGTACGACAGAGCTGCCATATGTCCCCATTCCTATTCAACTTCGCATTTGAAGACGTTCAGTCGAGTGCTCTAGGTTTCCGAAATTTTGGTCTAGAGCTTCTATCATGTAAGCGCGCGACCGACTTAGATTATGCTTATGATATTACATTTCTTGGCGACGATCCCCAGGGTATGCAACTTATTCTGGATCGTTTGTCGGTTGAAGCATTTAAGTATGGGATGAAATTCGCGCTGTCGATGTTTGAAGTCTTGCTTCTACATTGGCCCACATCTGCTCCTTCGCTCACTCTGTAATGTACACTACTTAACAGGTAGATACTTTCGCCGGCCGTTGGCCGAGTGGTCTGCGCGCCTGGTTTGCAATCAAAAGGTCACCGGTTGGAATCCCCGCACGGGTAGGCCTTTTCTCAGTAATCTCCTCCTGCGCGCGACTGGTGGTGGTCGCGCGGCAGCGAAGCGGCATTACGACGTACAGCTGACACATTATTTTATTATTTCAGATAGTTTCGTCTTCCTTGGGAGCTGTGTATATGCTATCTGTCCTGTCAGCAAGGAAGTTTCTCTTCGCATCACTAAAACCCGATCAGCATTTGACAATTTGAGACACTTATTGCGTCGTCGCTACGTCTCATTCTCGTATCTGTTCGTTCAGTGTTGTTGTGCGGGAGCGAGTCCTGGCCAAATCTCGTGGAGAACATGCGTCATCTTTCTGTTTTTGACAACGGTTGTTTGAGGATGATCGCTCCTGTGTGGGGACAACATCGAGTTCGCAGTGATAACTTTCGACTTCTTGTTTGAGGAATGTGACTATTCCCTTTAACAAGCTGGTTTTGCTAGGCCAGTTGAGATGGCTTTGTCACGTCCTACACATGGTGCTTGAGCGTTTGCCACACCGCGCTCTATTCCCTCGTCAAGGGTCGGACTGGAAGCGACCGCGTGGTGGTCAGTTTTCCACTTGGCAACAGCACATGAAATCGCTGATGTCCCGTCTAGCCGCCGTTGGACCTGTACGTCTTCTAGGATGGGGACCCAGGGATGAGGAGTGCCAATGTCTTAACACGCATGAAGACATGGCGCGCAACCGGAATCAGTGGAAGGATCGTATGCAGAATTGTATTGATTCACATTTTTATTGCATCAGACATTAAAAACGATAAAAAAAGAAAAATAGCGTGTGTAAAAAAACAAACTAAAATGCTCTGCATTATTTTTGGTCGAATTATACTTTCTTTTGACTTTCAAGATTTTCTTGATGGCCCCATGTCCATTTCTTGGACTGCTAATAAATTGGTAATTGTCTGCATGAGATGTCCAGTTTATAGAACTGGAGCTGGCCGCATTGGCATCGAATGCCATGCAGAGCCTGATTTTTATCGGTGCCTCTGACGCTAGAGCTCCATTCGGTTCTGGTAGGTTAGACGTGGGACGGTAACGAAAGAGAAATCTGTTTATCACTCCTTCCAGACAGCTATCCCCTTTTAATTTGAAGACATCGCACTTGTACGTATCAACAAATCTGGCTATTTGTAGGTGGAACAAAGGTGAGCGAACGGGCAGGGTAGTGCATCACTTGCAGAACTCCTCGAATTTGTCAAAATGGATTTTGTGTCATTATCTGTCACAAGTGTCCCAGTCAGCGGAACCTGCGATGTTGCGCCATAGTTGTGAAACATAATCATCATCATTACACATTAGCTGAAGGTGAGGAACGATTGTGCCGCAATACCTACGAGAAAGCAAGATACTATAACAATGGTGCTCTTTTTTGTGTAGTCCATGGGAAACACTACAGAAGCTTTGTTGCGGTAGTCGACTACAATAAAGGAAACTGACCGTTAATTTGCTCTGGTCTCTTGGATATTAGTCGTTACTAGAACTCTGACTGTAGCAGCTCTTCATATCTGTTGTCGCTTGTTCCTTACTTGTGTACTTTGTGTTACCACAATATTATTCGTTTTCACAGCTTACCAAACTCACCCATGTGAATATTGTGGCAAATCTTTTTCCAAGAAGAATACCTTGAAAAGACATGTTAAGGCAGTTCATTTGAGTGAGTTTTTGTGGGCGTGTCTGATACTTTATATATCACAAATCTTGCAAGTGTTTTTGTTGTTCCTCATCAAGACTGTCCTTTTGCGCGCAATTTCGCGTGGCATGCCTTTGGATGTGATGACATGTATGGCTTTATATCCACCCAACTTGCCTTCCGTGCGCTTGTCGATACAATACAGTTGAACAACTATGATCCCTGCACCTAAGTGCGTTGAATCCAGTTGCCACCGTTTTCATCACCACTATAACACCATGTAACAATGGTGAAAAAACGATCTGGGTCACAACTAGAATACCAAACAAATGGGATCCATTAACAAGCTTGTACAACTAATCAGAATAGAATGAATATTAACTGTTCATTGCAAGAAACCAAATCCACAAGCGCTACTGTTTGCGCAACTGTGCCATGTTTGGTAGAGTCTCCAACCACTGATGTTGACCATATTGTGGTACCCATCCACTAACTTCGGTCAATATCTTCATGTCTTTACTCCACGTCACCAACTCGTCACCGAGCTTTCATTCGATTTCTTTTTAACTACGGTATATAATACACGCAGGGGAAGCCGATCGGCGGGCATACTGTTGACCTGCTCTAGCCAGCGTAAGCAGTTCAAATTCAACAGACAATATAATGAGGTAACAAAAGGTTTCTTGCTTAAATCCAGCTACTGGACCTCACCATTGCTCATGTTGTTTCCGCCACATGTGAGCCATACTCCGCAGACACCGGTGTTCAGAGATGGTTAATCGTTTCTGTAAACACTGCGAATTGGCCAGGCATCTGACCCATACATTGGCACTGGTCTTACCGCAGCGTTACACACTCTGCCTTTCACCGGCAGTCTGATATCTCGCCGTATCCATAAATGGTTATGCTTCATGAGTCACACGTGCTTTACTGATACGCGAAGTAACCTCAGTGATATGATCACCAGAGATAAGTGAACCATTTCGATTTCTGTCCGTTGTTAGTCCGAACTTGTTCCTGGTCGAACCAATCCTGCACTTTTGTAATGTTGGTTTCCTCGGTAAGCTGAGCCATCCGATGGCAATCGAATGTTTGGTCGATGTTATTACGACCAGATCGGAAGCCAGCCTGGTTATCAGTGATTTAGCTTTCACTAGAGCCAGCAAATTTTCGAGCATTAATAGCCGTGAGCGGTTTATAAGCAATAGAAGTAAGGTTAGTACCTCGTGCTTTTCGAATAATGTTCGATGGCAATCTTTTTGAAGATGCTTAGGGCGGTTTGCAGTCTGAATTCACTTCGTCCTTGTCCCAAAATGTGATGAATGGAACAGGTAGTTAGGTCAACACCTCCGTACCCTTAAGGATCGCAAACCTGTTTTGTACTCCGAGGGCCCGTATTCGAGCCTGCGTAGGGACGGGGAGACATTCGCAGTATCCTTTGCCCTCGTGCGACTGGCTGTGGTTGCGCGGCAGCGAAGCATCGGTACTGCGTACTGGCTAACTGCTGATGCCTCTCTTTTTAGCAAAGATCATCATCATCAACAGCAGTACATCAGTCATTTGAACTGATGCTTCGCTGCCATACAACCATGAGGACCTGTGAAATAAAGAATAAGAGGAAGGGGACTAGCCTGAAAACCTTAATGCCCTAAGCAAACATTCAGGGTCAAGGCGCGTACACCTTGTGTAGACAACATACCATCACCAACAGCTGGCGATCGTGCAAAGATAAGGCGGCATCGGCGAGACAGCTTCCTTGCGGCTTTCACTGCCACGCGTCATAATCAGTCATTACCCCGCAGATAACTCAGCCCCAAACATACTTTAAACAGGCAATCCGATTAGAAGACGGCAGCAGACGCGCGATTGGTGTCGGTTGCGAGACATGTCCTGCAAAGTCTCGAGCCAAGCACAAGGTGAGTCACGTGGACTCCAACCCGGAAGGCGAGACGGACCAACGGCACCCAGTTTGGTTGTCAGTGACTTCATTTCCCGCTGCCAAGTCAACTTCTATCCACCTCGAGCTTTGCGCCATCCTACACTTGGTAGACTGAACAAGGCTCTCCTAGGTAAGCGGTGACCAGGCATGCGTAGCACATTCCCGAGCCAACGCAACTTATTCAATGCTATCTGTTGTTCTAGGGTGCTAGCATGATTATCACTACCTAGTACTCGCCTACGCACATCATCGTTGGGGATACGCTGGTGCCATCTGACACCAGCAATGCTTCGCAAACAACGATGATCAAAGACTTGAAGGCGCCTCAGATCTTCAGACCGAAGGGGCCAAGTTTCACTACCATAGAGCAGGACGGCCCTCACTGTGGCCTTGTATACCCGGCCTTTCAGACGGAGGGAAACTCCCTTCTGTCGCCAAAGATGACGCAGGTTCAAGAGGGCAGCTCTGGCCTTTGCAATGCGTGAGCTCACGTCAGTTTCTATGCGCCCATCATTGCTGATGCAGCTACCAAGATAAGTGAAATGATCAACCACCTCGAGTTCCTCGATAGCAAGCGTCAAGGGGTCATCAAGTGGCTGGTGGTCCTGCAGCAAAACTTGCACTTTGAAGGTGCGAAGTGCATACCAAATAATGGGACCATTCTGGACAGGCTATTCAGGGTTGATTGTGCCGCCCCAACATCGTCGAAAAGCAAGACGATATCGTCCGCATAATCTAGGTCAACTAACTTTTCACCAGGCAGCACTTCAACGCCTACATCGTTAGATTCCGTCAGGGAACACTCCATGATAGAATCCACGACGAAATTGAACTATAACGGGGAAATCGGACAACCCTGACGAACGCCACTTGTAGTCGAAAAGCTATCCGATAGGACACCATAGACTCTGACGCGGCCTGTAGTGTTGGAGTATAGAGCACGAAGGATATTCACATATTTTGTGGGAACACTTTTTCGCGTAAGTAATTCGAACAGAATCGATCGATTGACTAAATCGAACGCACTCTTGAAATCAAGGAACACAGCTATTTTCGGTCTGCGGTATGCGTTGCGTTGCTCTAGCACCTGCCGTAAAGTAAATATATGGTCTATACAGCCACGTCCTGGGCGGAAACCGGCCTGCTCTTCCCTAATCCGAGATTCCCGTTCTGCAATGAGGCGACGAACGAGAATCGAGGCCAGTAATTTTGTCACAACTGGCGTTAGGCTAATACCCCTGTGGTTCGCACAGTCTGTACGACTGCCCTTTTTGTATATTGCCACTATAATCGATTCGCTCCAATTAGCCGGCACACTCTTCGTTCCAGATACGTTCGAATAGGGAGGTCAGTGCCCTGCAGAGGACCTCACCTCCATCCTTAAATAGTGCAGGTCGGAGGAAATCCGGGCCAGCGGCACGAAAACGATTGAAGGCTGTGATCGCGTTTCGGACCTTGGCCTCCGATGGAGGCTCTAAACTAACCGTCCATGGCACGTCCTACATCACCTGAGTAGGAAGAGGTCCGGGAGCAGGGGGCCAGCTAAACTGATCTTAAAAGTGTTCTGCCCAACGAGCCATACGGCACTCCTTATTGTGTATCAGCGCACCCGCGCTGTCTCTGATTGTCTCACTGACGCCTGGTTTTCTGGGACCAATGGTGCGGATTAACTGGAAGAGCTTGCGGTAATTGCCTACTGCTCCTGCCTCCTCCATTTCTTAGCCCGACTGGTCCACCAGGCTTCCTTGTCAGCACGTAGGCTCCGCTTTATATCGCGCCTAATAGCCCGTCTGGTCACATTGTGTTCAGAACCAGCCGGGAGGAGTCTTCTAGCTTCCAACAGGTACACCGACCTCTCGGTAAACCAGTGACTGGTGCGGTGACGATTGATAGTGCCACAAGCAAATGCTCATGTGTCGTGCATGGCGGCCGAGATCCTATTCCACTGAAGCTCAGTGTCATTAGGACAAGACAGCGAGAGTTCGGTATGCAGTGCTTCTTGATAGGCTCTCCTGACCGAGGGCTGGGAAAATTTCTCCAGCAGCGTTTTTCGTTTCAACACGAATAGTTCATGTCGAATCTCCTACAAAGTGACATCAACTTTCCACTTCGATTCAGGTGATACAGCTATTGGCAGTTTCGCAGCAACCTGCTGAACTGCTTTTCCAAATGTTCCGTCCAACTGGATTGTCGATGATGCTGAGAAGACATTAACTGCCCATCTATCTCGGCTATTGTCTCACTGTCTGTGGGCTTTCTTGCACCCATTACCCGAATAAGCCCACAAACTACTCCATAGAACCGACTTTTTTCTTCCAGCGGGCAATTGCCGCTCACCAACTTTCTCGCTTGATTCGAAGCCCTTGTAAGTCGTCGTTTTACGACATTACGGGCACGCAAGAAATCCAACACCCAACGGCACTTGTTAACTTGTTTTGATCAAATTGATCGATGCCTCAGTGATCCATCCAGAGTATGACCGTTTCAAGTCGGATATACAAAAACGTTCATTATGACACACTTGGGGCGATTCAGATCAACGTTTAGCTCACAAACGGCATTAGTCATTGACGACTATCAAATTCTTCGTGATATTGTTCAGTTTCGGACAGCGAGTTTCGGTGAGAAGCTTAGAATTTGGGGTGTTTCCTTGAAGCGAGAAGGGTGAGCGCCACGCGTGCGCACACCAACCCATGGCTACAGTCCTGATACGTAATCCAAATTGCGACACTCATGGACTGATTTTCGCCATATGTAGCTAATGGTAATATGGTCACTTTTGCTCCAGGTCATCGGGGGATTGGTCAGGTGACAACTGGTACGATGTAAACATTTGTTCTGAAAAGCATTGCTATTAATTTAAAGGTTGTATTCGGCGCACAGTTGCACGAATCGATCACATCTTGCATGTGCTTCGCACCTTCAGAGTGCAGTGTTGTTGCAAGACCACCAGCCAACTGCTAACCCCTTCATCGCGAGGAATTCGAGGTAGTTGATCAACTCACTTACCTTGGCAGCTGCATAAGCAACGATTGGCGCGATACCACTGAAGTCAGTTCACGTATTGCCTTCTTACATATGTCTTTGGCGTCCGAATGTGGTTTCCGTCGGTCTGGAAGGCCGTGTTTACAAGGTCACAGAGAAGACCGTCTAACTACATTGGTGTGAGACTTGGCTCCTACGATCTGAGGACATGTGACGCCTTCAACTGTTTGATCATCCTTGTCTACGGAGCATTGCTGGTGTCGGGTGTCACCAACGTGTCCGCAACAATGATGTGTGTAAGCGAGTGCTAGACAGTCGTTTTAAAGCTAGTTCCTTAGAATAACAAGTAGCACTGAATAAGTTGCGTTGACTTGGGCAGGTAATAAGTATGGTCTCCGCTTGCCGAGCGGGTCTTGTTTTGTTTGCCAGATGTAAGGTGGCGCGTGGCCCGAGGTGCGCAAAAGTTGACTTGGCAGTGGGAAATGAGGTCACTGACAACCAAACTGTGTACCGTTGTTCCTTCTCGCCATCCAGGCTGCAGTCCACGTGACCCACCCTCGAAACGTCACAGAATATGGCTGGCAGTGGGCACCAGTGGCGTATCTGCTACCGTCTCATAGTCGGGCTACCTGTTTAAAGTGTGTTTGGTGCTATCTTCGAGGTATTGGCTTATTATGACCTGGGACAATGAAAACAACAAAGAAAGCTATCTCGCTGATGCCGCCTTATCTTTGCACGATAGCCAGCAGTTTATGGTGGTATGTTGTTAACAAGTGTAGGGGCCTTGATCTTAAGCGTTAGTTTAGGGCATTAAGATTTCACGCTAGGTTTCCCGTTCTCTTCCACGTACAATTTTTCGTTCCTTAGGTCATTGTGATTGTACGGCAGCAAAGCACTAGTTCGAATGACTGATCTACTGCTGTTGATGATGATGATGAACGTCAGAAATAAATGCTGGTATTTAGTTGTTCTGAAGCATAACTTTTGAGTTGCTTGTTACGAGTTGCTCTGAAGGCACTTACTGTATACCACCCAAACTGGCTTGTAATTTTTCTATGGTCCACATAAGGTCTATGAACCCTAGTGTGTTGATTTCCAGTAGTTGCACCGCCACTGCCGAAACTGGATGATACTATCTATGTTACTCTGCATACTTGGGGAGAAAAATGGAAAATATGCGCAACTGTCACACTAACATCCGTTCGCGCAGCATTTTTATGCTTTTCACATAGTCAACAAGCACACGTCATAGATAAGGCAAGACGGTACGTTGATTATAACGCCACTAACACTGAACAGTTTTTCCAAGACGTGTTGGAAAGGTAACCAATAAGTTGAATGACCTCTTTTCCACATTAGTGTGCAACCAACTTTCTTGTGACAGAAGGATTTCTGTATCTACCTACTCATTTCGCTGCATACTAACACTGAGATCACTGATTTTACCAAGGAACGAGCACAAATTCTTGGAAAGTATCAGTGGGTCTTGTGCTTTCTTGACAGTTTGTCAACCAGCGCTATGTTTTCGCCTTTTCCTGTGATGTTTCTTCATATTTCATTTGGAGTTTTTCCTTATTTTGTGACCATATTCGATGAGACCCAGATTTACGACAACAACCCGCAACGTTTTCAATAGATTGCCTGAGTAGACATGATTGACCTTGCCACTAGTTCGGAAAACAAATTGTCTCACAGATACGAATAAAACCTAAAATCTGCAGTCGATAGTGCCACATACTCTTCCAACGAGAAGAGCAATGGACGAATTTGCAGGCCCCGCAAACACATATTACTGCACCTTGGGGCTCATCCATGTAAAATATCAAATAAGGCGTTTTGTATTCTCACTGTGCTCTTGTGGTCAGTTGTGCGCACCCCCAGCATTAGTTCGCAGTGCGGCCGTCATGTTACTTTGCATCTACACGCTGCATATTAATCAAATCAGTGGACCAGGATGGCACTGCCCATCTGTATCAATAATTCCGACGTTTGGTGCGCATTTAGGTATGAAAGTAGACGCACTTCAGAAGCGTATAAGACCACTTTTCTGTCGCTGGTTAATTGTTACGGATGTTGGTTTAACGCTTCACACGGGCAGTTGTCAGTGAAACGGGTGGGGATCTGTCATATACATTAGCTTCTAATTCATAATTAGTCAGTTACAAAAGGTGGACTTCACTGTGTTTTCGACATCCAACTTGGCAATGCTGTTTTTGCACCATAAGATAGTTTTCTATTAAGTGTTCTGTCTGACTAATGACATTTTGTTTTCGGTTCCAGGGCAGCGAAATCACATATGCGAATACTGTGCAAAATCTTTTTTCAATGCAGCACATCTCCGGATCCACATAGATGCGGTTCACTTGAGTGAGTCCAATGTTGAGTGCACCGGCAGGCTGCGAATGTTTTCAATAACCTATCAGACTTGTACAATTGGGAATCAAGTGTTAAGGATTTATATTAATTTTTGCTTCGGATTTTCACGTGGCCCAGTACAGTATTTTTGGGCTGGACAACTATTATCCTGACACCGTACTGCAGTGAAACCAGTTGCAACCACTCATGTCGCCAGAATAACAACAACTAACGACTGCAAGTAAATAAGTTTAAATTTGCGTAACATGTAAAGCAAATGAAACCAATAAGGAAATGGGTTAAACTAAACAGGATGTATTGAAAATTGTGACCTGCTTGCAAGAAACCGTATACAGGAATTTCACTGTCTGCATAACTTCGCCATGTCCTATGCAGCCTCCAACCACAAATCTTTGTCATCCTGGAGCCCCAATCCACGAACATGGCACGCACCAGCCTAACCAGGCCTCTCGATCAGTTCCTTCATACCCTTATTCCACTTCATCGTCTGGCTCTTTGGTGGTTTCGCCGAACTTGGTGTAGTGACGACGTACACTGCACCCCGATGAAGCTGGTCAACGGACATTGGCTAGCGCATGTAAGCAGTTGGGTTTAAGCAAACACTGGAGTAAGGCACCAGAAGAGTTTTTGCCAAAACTCAACTGGCAGATCTCTGCATTGCTCACTTGATGTTCTCAACACACATAGGCAATACTTCGCAAAGACCCGGTGGTCACACAGCCAAGTGTTTACTGTCATCATTGCGAATTGGCTAGGTCTCTGATCCATACGGTAACACCGAACTTCTCGCAGCGTTGTACACCCCACCTTCCACTGACAGGCTGATATCCCGCCGTCTCTATAGACTGTTGGGTCTCTGGAAACTCACACAGGCCTTGCTAATAGGCCAAGTAACATCGTCAGTGATGTAACCAACGGAGGTAACACAGCTACCAAGATAAGTAAACCGATCCAACACTTCCAGTGGCTTTTCGTAAATAGCTAAAACCGGAGCTGTGTTGGCTCGGTCCTGCACTTCGAAGGCGGAAAGCGCACGCAAAGGCGTGCAGCGCTACGCGTCAGGCTATCCACTAGTGTTTTCATAGTCACTGCTTCAGACCCAAGGAGAGTTGTGTCGTCTCCGTACTCAAGTTTTGTTAGTCTGTCACCTGACAGAAATTCCACCCCGGTAAAGTCCTTGGGAACTCAGGAGACAGTTTTCTGAAGACCCTTACGCGGCCTCGGGAATCACGGTAGACTTCAGAATTGGAAGGAGTTTAGTTGGCAGGCTCATCGTGGATAGGTAGTGCCACATGCTGGCGCAGTCAACAGAGACAAAGATGGCTTTCAAGTCCAGGCAAACCATCCTAGTCGGTCGACTGTTTGTGGGTCTCTGCTCCCTCACTTGGCGAAGTAAATATGTGAACGATACAACTGTGACCATAGTGGAAACCTGCCTGGCTTTCGGTGATTTGGTTCTCACAGGAACCAGTGATTCGTCAAACATTGATATCGGTAAGAACTTTGGAAAAAATAATGGTTTTCGCACAAATTACGCTTACCCTTCCTAAGTATATACATAACGGTTGGCGGTCGGCAGTCCGAAAACATCTGTTCACTGTTTTAATTCGTTTTCAGTAGAGAAGCAAGCCCACTTAACAAAGACTCGGCTTCATCTTTCAGCAAAAAATGGAGGGAGGTTGTCCGTTCACGAACCTTGTTTCTTTTCAAAACGGAATATCATTCAAAGTAGGGGGCGTGATATCAAGTTCCCACGTCGGATCAGGTGACTCAACAAGTAGCACTGTCGGACTGCTGGACTGCTCTTCACAATGTTCCACCCCATGGGATAGTTGACGATGCTGAGAATGCATCAGCTGTCCATCATTCTCTGCTATTGTCTCACTATCTGAGGGTGTTCTTGGACCCTTTACCCGAATGAGCTCGAAAAGTGCTGTACAGCACCGCCTCTCTTGATCTCAAGAGCGGTTGCCAGCCACCAATTTCATCGGTCGATTCGACGAATCCTTGTAAGTCATCGTTTTAGGGCATCACGGACACGTTGAAACTTGACATCCAACGGAAGCTGTTAACTTGCTTCGATCAAATTGATCGTTGCCTCAGTGACGCATCCAAAGTATGGGCCTCTCAAGTCGAACGTACAGTAGGCGTCAAAAGCGTTCGTCATGGCACACTTAGAGGATCCCAATCGGCGTTCGCCTCGCTGACTTCATCCGTTATTGACATTTACTGGACTAGTTCGTCATGCTCGCGGAGCTCAATGACCTAGTGATCATAGCGATGGCCGTCATGCACTATGCGCAGTTCCACTCCTGGCTCGGCTATTTATGCCTGATTAGTCTGGGACGAAACCGTCGGTCATGGAGTGCAGGTTTGGGAGAGAGAGCCACACCGAAATTCTCCAGTTCATCGTGATATTGTTGAATTGCGGAGTGGGAGTACAGGATACAAATGCGAGGTATAGAAGTTAGACGCTTGTTTGAAGCATAAAGAGTGAGAACCAGGCATGCGAACACTAGGTTACGTTCGGAATCTAAGCGTGTGCTCCAAATTAACTTACAGTCTTGTACTGATGTATGCCATCTGCAGCTGATGATGATATGGTGAATTTGGGTCCAGGTCATCGAAGAATTCGGTGTGCTCCAGGTGACACGATGTGGACGGTTGTGCTAAAAAGTAGTGCTGTTAAGATAAAGCTTTTGCTCGGCACACATTTACCGACATCGATCACGATTTTCTGTTTGGCGTGCATCGACTCCGAATCGGCCTCCCAGGTGTTGTTCAGGTTCTGAAGGACGACTCACTTGGGTATGCACGTCATCAGCAACAATCACAGTGTACTCATTACTCGCCATACGGTTGAGAGATAAGAGTGGATGCTCATCATCATCAGCAGCAGTACATCAACTATTTAATTGATGCTTCGCTGCCGTACAACCATGGTTGATGCAGTCATTGATTATGCCTAGTGTATGCATCACTATCACTATCAAACCTGGCCGCTTAAAGCAGCGGACCTGAAGAGGCTAGTTATGTTCGACCACCGGCGTCTTCGTAATTTAGCTCACATCTGGTGGGAACACCGCGTGAGCAACGAGCGTGTTCGATGCCTTGTTTACGGCACAGAGAAAGGAACTGAACCGCTCAGCACCGTTATTTCACACACCAGACTCCGATGGCTCGGCCACTTGTTACGCATGCCAGCCCACCGACTCCCGCGACGTGCGTTGTTTGCGCGCCGGGGGTGTGGATGGAAGAAGAGGAGGGGTGGCCAAGCGATGATTTGGTCTAGAGGAATGAAGGCCCTCACTTCTGAGCTGGCCTCGGTTGGAGCGTCTCAGCTCCCTGGTTGGGGTCTGAAAGACGATGAACACGTTTGGTTGGACACACTTGCTGATATAGCTAGGAGCCGACCTCAGTGGCGTTCGTGCTGTGAGTTTCTTTGTCCCACCCCATCCCTCTTAGCCTCCCCCTCCAACCACGATCTCATTATTAGCTTCATATATTTTCGCATAGTATTTTTTGGTGCACAGTAGCCGACTGGTAGCTTACCGGAACGATGCCCATCCGTTACCGGTAGCTCAGCCGGCTTACACCAGTTGTTTTTTTCTCCTTTTTTCTGTGTATTGCGGCACAGTAGCTGAGGTGTTCCCCGCCTCTAGTTAACCTGTATGATGATGATGATACATCACTATCCAGCCGGAAGAGCTGCGGAGGCTGCGTGGGAGCGCGTGTAGGTGAGTGCGTACGTGTTTGTGCACTAACCAGTTAGCGTCTGGTATTGATTCATTTCGAAATGGGAATTGTTCACACGTTCATGTGACTTACATCAGACAGTTTTCACTTGTTCACATGTGCTGAATTACGTGTTCCAGTTTTACGCTTGCTACTAAAGTTTCCTACTGTCATACCACCTTTCTGATTTTGCTTGGGCGTAACATATTGGCGACGGAAGTTATTCGAATTGCTCATGGCAATTTCCATTACGACACATCCGCCTTATTAGATGTGTTCAACTGAACGATCCATTACGCAGCAATGGACACAGTGGATGACTCTCTTTGATCTATTTGTGATTATTGGCGGTAAAACACGGTTGATGATGCAATGAAATTCAACTTACTGGTTCACCACCTCGATAACCAGGGCTGGCGACATTTCGACAGCTTGAGATCACGTACAAAAATGATCTACAATCTGTGTTCTATTCCTTGGGCGAGCTTTCGGTGAAAAGCCACATGTGTTCACAGTACATTAACAATGCAACGCAGTGCGACAACCGCGGAATGAAAGTCTAATTTAGTTTATTTCTCGACTTCTTACGATCTCCTTGGTTGCGCCTATGATCAGACTTTACCGACCCAGTTCGAAGGATCGATGTTCTTGCAGGCATTAATTGTGGGTGCTCTTGACGAAAAATTCCGGTAGCGGCTGCTATCCAACCCTGAAATGCTTCTGACTTTGGGAAAGATCTGTGATATACTCCGACAGCCTGCAAACCTGCTTCGGAATCTAGCTACATTTCCACTCAGTCGATCTCACTGGACCTAAGCCAAGTCTCCCAGAGTAGCCGGGAACAAACCGCAACTCAATCTGTGCAGCGTAGAGACTGTCGTTGTTATCACTGCGGTGAACGCTGATCGTCCCCAACTGACTACCAGAACCTACCTTTAGTGTGCAGCTTTTGTAATAAAAAGGTTATATTCAGAAGGTACGTCATTACAAGGGGAATCATTTATACCTAAACAGTGTAAAGCAACAGCTTGCAACACCGAGGTTATAAACCAGAACTGGATCAATTTCACAGTTCAAAACACAACGTGTATTCCAAAATCATACAATCAACTTCTAGTCGCCATGACAAGCACTGTTCGCGTAGTCTAATTACCCGGTGATCATACCAACAGCCACCACCGACTGTGCGCCGAGCCCCACTCCACCTGATGAGCCCAAACCAGGACGAAACTGTGTCATGGAGTGCAGGGATGGGG